TAAGATACTCCAACATGGATTTAGGCGAAGATGAAGATGAACGAAGATCAACTTCAGGATACACTTTATTATTAAACAATGGGACTATTTGTTAGAGCAATAAGAAGTAGACATGCATTGCACTACACTTTATATAAGTTAAGTTTGTAGCATGTACTGCAACAGTGCAAGAGTCTCTATGGCTGAAGAGATTTTTAGAACATCTTGGATTTGGAAATGAAAGTACAAATCCAATGTTAATTCATTGTGACAACATTACAGCCATAGCCTATACCAAAGATCCTAAGTACCACAGTAAAACCAAACATATAGACTTGAAGTACAATTTTGTAAGGGATCATATAGTACAAAAGGTTATCATTGTTCAATACATTTCCATGAAATGTATGATAATAGATCCCCTAACAAACTCCATAGCCAAAGAGATATTTGAGAAACATGTAAGGGCCCTTGGAATGTCTAGATTATGAAAAGATAGACTTGATGTAATATTTTTGTTAAATTAATGAGAATTTTATTAGATTAATGATATGTTTGAGTAGAAAACAAGTCCCAACTTGTACTTTTTACTCAAGTCTAAAATCTTAGAAGTTTAAAACTCAACTATTTAAAGTCCATGTTTGACTTTTGAAATTCGATTCCTTTCTAAAAAGAAGAAAATAAGTGAAGCAATCCCCGAGTGATATCTTAAATTTGTAAAGATAGAAAAATCCCAAACCTTAATTGGCATTTGTGGCCACAAGAGTACTCCACTTCGCAAGGAAGTGGACAAGGAGGACAGGCTCTATAATGACATTTGTGAGGCTAGACAAGAATTATAAAATTATTAATGATAAGGGGGAGAAAAGATGCAACATCCATTACTAAACAATTATTTTTACTAAAAATCTTATATCCACATATAATTTTTACTATGTATCCTATATAAATTATAGGTCCTGCAATCCTTTTTTTTGTCATTGGCAATTTCTTTGCATATCAAACGCATTATTATTTTTATTAAAAATATTATATTCACCACCAATTTTTATCATGGATTCTACATAATCTTTCGAAATATAAAAATCTTCATCTTTTTTACACAATTGTCTAAATTTTTAACTTGTATAAATGGTGGCCCTACACCCATATTTTTTAATGGTAGATCACACATTAACTTTTTCACTAAATCCTACAACTATACTATTTATTTTTTTTAACAAAATCATTCATTAACTGATTTTAATTTTTTTAAATAATTACTAATTTTATTTTATTAATTAAATTACACGTCCCTCATCCACTTTTTTATCATTATAAATTTCTTTACATATCTAACACCTAGTATTTTTACCATGATCTTTCGAAATATAAATGTCTAGATTTTTAAAATTTATAAATATATCACCCCACTTACATTTTTTAATGATAACTCCACACACCACTTCTTCAAACTACACTACTCTAATTTTTTTAAAAAATCAAGTTTATTAAAATCTCACATTTTCTTCATTCTCATTAGATTCTCAATTGATTTTAAAATATATAAACATATAAAAAAATCAACAATCAAGCCTAGCTCTTGCATTTCTGGCTCTAAAATTTATTTAGGTTGATCTAACTACCCCAAATTTTAAAAAATTATTTTGTTTTATTTTTCTCTTTATTGAGCCCATAACTATGTTTTTGAAATTTTTTTGGCCAATTTATATATTAACTTTTTAAAAAAGTTACAAAATTAAATTTTTGACAATTTAAATGATTTTTAGACAATATTTATATTTAAATAGGAGCATTTTAGTTTAGCACATATGACTTAACAGTTAACTAATGGTTAGGTGGATAAAAATAAAGAAATCTTATGGCTCCGATGACTTCGGCCCTTATGGCTCCAGCTCCTCTAGTACTGGCCCTAATGATTTCGGCCCTTGTGGCCGAACATGCCTACTATTGAATTAGACCTGCCATTTATCTTTTCAAGGATGTTATAGCGGTCCTCGTTATTGATCTTCTGGTCGAAGGACATTTTAGGAGACTGTCATCCGAGTCCATCTATTCTCTAAAGGTACGGGCAAATTGGAACTTGCTCCTGTTACAACCTAGACAACACAGCAGAGATGTTCCTTAGCCCCTCCTTTAGAGTTTGCAACAGAGCTCTTTACTTCTTGTTAGCTCGTATTTCACGTTTTGTGTGTATAGCCATGTTTTTTGAGTCGTAAGACTCAGGTCTATTCTTTCCAACAATATATTGGTCCTTATGTATTTTAGGCATTCCTTTCACACGGGTCCCACCGAGCGTGCCAAAAAATTGTTCGTAAAAAAAACAAACAATGAAAGGCATGGTGTCGTGAGGTGTACCAGAGATGCGGGGTCTCAAGAAAATGGAAGAATTTGACTTCTAATCAAATGCAAGGAACCCGGGCTCCCTTACCATGGTTCACCCGGATGTGAGAATGCAAAGTGAAGAACACTAATAATGATACATAAAAGTAGAGATGCATTAATTAAAGAAAAAGGGTGGCAGGCTATGTCGGGCATACAAAAAATAAAGACTAAAGTTACATGATAAAAAGAAAAATAAAGTAACAAACGCAGAGTCTAAGATTAGTAGTTTGTTGATGTTGATGATAATCTGGTGATAGAGAGCTCCTCTATTTATAGATGATCTTGGCTTGGTGCTCAAGCCCCATGATCGCCACTTTTCTTGAATTTCGGAAGCACTTCCTCTATCATGTTCACTCATCATGGGTGATGGTCTTAACTTAATGGCTAAGACTTCATAAATATTTTTTTATATAATTATTTTAAAGCCAATTAAGTTAAATTGGGCCAGGACCTCTAAATTCACATTTTGGATGCAAGTAGTTACTCACTCTATTTAAAAATAAGAAAAATGATAGAAAAATTTATTTAAATTACGTAAATAATAGATTAGTCTCACCAAATGGCATAATTTCTTTGGAGTTTTAAGGGATGTTTTTGTCATTAAAAATAATGACACTTTTTCCCTTTATTCATCTTAACAAAATTCACAATTTTTCATTCACAATTTTTGTTCATATATTAACAACTTTTGTTTCTAAGTTTTGTAAGTCTTGATTTGCAGGTCCTGACTAAGACATGTCAATTCATCTAATTTGCAACTTACATTCAAAAATTAACAAATAGAGAAAGAAAATTAACAATTAATAATTCTGTATAACAAGTAAAAGGTATTTTAATCTTTTCACCCATCTAAAATTAAATCTCTATAGCAATTTTTAATTAAAATTCTCCTTTAATTTTTTATTTACTCCGGAACATATATTAATTTTTAAAAATAATAGTATTATGATGAGCCACTATTTTAACTATATTTTTGCTTTTTTCTCAAAATAGTAAAATTATATTATATATATAAATATATACCCTAAGAAATAATAGACCATTATTACTTCCTCCCCTTATTTTTGTATTTTGATGGTGTCAGGTTGGTACAAAGGTCTCACCCTTTTCCCTTACACCCACTCACACGTCATATCTATACACACAGTCTCTCTTTTCTAAATCATAATAATTATGGTTATATATTTTTTTAGTATTTATTAATATCAAAGTATGATGTAGTCCTGCTGTTGGTTTGATTTTTTACCTATTCTATCTGCTACCCACCCTCATCCTAAACGCACCACTCGCTTTATCATAAAAAAAAATCCCAACCTAAGCTCCTTTTAACTTTTTTGAGTTTTTTTTATAATTTTTATATTAACTAATAATTATTATTTTTTAAAAAATATGGTCTGTCCTATAGTAAAAGAGTACATGTGGGATATTTAATTAAAAATAAGTAAAATATTTCATATATTTTTGTCCACCTCATTTGAATTTACATTATATGTTTATTTTTATGAACACTGATCTACAGTATCCATCTATAGCAAATAAAAATAATGAGAAAGTGGGTATAGTGCCATATTTATAATATATTATAGATATAGGTTGTAGATTTCTTGTCATATCTGTGTCTAAAGTATAAAAATAGTTAAAACTTGCCTTGGGGTTATGACTTCAATTTACTAATTTCATTATTATTATGATAGGACGGCTCAGAAAATTATGCATGTGACTTTGACGCTAAAATTGTCATTTTAATTTCCCACCCCTAACAGCTTTCAATTATTAGTCTCATATATTTTTGTAAGCCTTTTTTTAAATTTAAAGGCATGTATTAATTTTAATAAGTTCCTAAAATTCAACTCACTTAAATTTTTTTACAACAGAAATTATTTTAGATAATAATTTTTTTTACAAATTCAACTCACCTAAATTCAAGGAAAGTGGCAAACATGGGGCTTGGGCACTAAGCCATGATCATCTATAAATAGAGTAGCTCTCTATTATCAGATCATCATCAACATTAACAAACTATCAATCTCAAACTCTGCGTCTGTTACTTTATTTTTCTTTTATCATGTAACTTTAGTCTTTATTTTGTGTACGGCCGGCATAGCCCGCCACCCTTTTTCTTTAATTAGTGTTCTTCACTTTGCATTCTCACATCCAAGTGAACCGTGGTAAGGGAGCTCGAGTTCCCTGTATTTGATTAGAAATTAGGTTCTCCCATCCTCTTGAGACCCCACGTCTCTGGCATGCCTCGCAACACCACGACTTTAATTGTTTTTTTTTTACGAAGAATTTTTTGTTACGCCCAGTGGGACTCGTGTGAAAGGAATGCCTAGAACACGTAAGGATCAATATGTTGTTGGAAAGAATAGACCTGAGTCTTATGACTTAGAAAACGTGGCTGCATACGTAGAACGTGAAGTATGAGCTAACAAGAAGCAAAGAGCTCTATTGCAAACTCTGAAGGAGGGGCTAAGGAACATCTCTGTTATGTTGTCTAAATTATCACAGGAGCAAGCTCCAATTCGCCCACACCTTTAGAGAATAGATGGACTCAGGAGGCAGTCTCCCAAAATGCCCTTTGACCAAAAGATCAATAACAAGGACTACTATAACATCCTTCAAAAGATATGGCAGGTCTAATTCAATAGTAGGCCCGTTCGACTACAAGGGCCAAAATCATTGGGGCCAGCACCAGAGGAGCTGGAGCTATAAGGGCCGAAGTCATTGGGGCCAGGGCCATCAGGGCTAAAGCCATTAAGGCTAGCACCAGAGGGGCTGGAGCCACAAGGGCCAGAACCATTGGGGGTGAAGCCATTGGGGCCAGCACCAGAGGGGCCGGAGCCACAAGGGCCGAAGTTATTAGGGCTGGAACCATTAGGGCCAAAGTCATTAGGGCTAACACCAGAGGGGCTAGAGTCATAAAGATCGAAGTCATGGGGGTCGCAACCAAGGGGCCAGCACTAAAGGGACAATAACCACTGGGGCTGCTATCATAAAGGCTGGCACCACAGGGACCAAAGTCAGAAAGGCAAGTTTTGCAAGTGCCCTTTTCACGAGAGCTCTCTCCACAGGGGCCTTGCAATAGCTAGATTTTATAGAATCAGTCCTTAAAGTCTAAAAACTCGAAGGGCCAATTCCAAAACTAGCTCTTGAGGTCCTAAACTTAAGAAACTTGATCCTAAGCTGGACCACATGGTCCTTAATCCTCAATCACAAGGGTGTCCCTCAAAAAAAGTACTAGAGCAACCATTAATTAGAATGAGAATGAGCTGATCCTTCAAGATATATCCATACAAAATTAGCCTACGAAGACTCTAGCCAATTTGTATACGGGGGGCTTTGTTTCCTAAAAATGCTCCTGCGACATAAAGTTATATGTGCTGTTATGACTTAACAGTCAACTAATTCGATTCTATCTGTGCCTGCAAATTTTCTTTTAGGAAACATGAAGTTATAATTACTTTGATTGAATTGATGCCGATATTTTGTTTAAATCACAAGAAGGAGGAAGACTTGATTAATACATGGAGTGATTTCTCTAACAAGACACAAATTCAATTGTCATAAAATACACAAAATACGTAACATTGTAATTAAGAAACATAGATATACTATTTTCTTACCAAACATATTATCATCTCCTATTTCTCGTGCTTCTCTCATTTCTTCTTTCTTGTTCTAATGTTCTAAGTATTGATTACATCCAGTTAATATATCAAAAGCACTTCCCTACGTAAAAGAGGATAAGCAGGATCATAACTATTGTTATATAATAATCCTCTGAAATAGTAAAGATTTTCATGGCCGAGAATGCGTTGAGCATATCAAAATTCATCATTATCAATCTCTCCATTGTTACGCATCTCAGTTAAAAAAGCAACCAATTGTGCTGGTGTTAGATATAGCAGTGCTTGTTGTGGTTGCTGCTGCTGCTGCTGTGGTTGATATGCTATAGGAGCTTCTTGTTGCTGTAGCTCATTTTGAAATATTATTTCTAAAGTATTTATATACCATCTATGTGGACGGCCATCATCCGCCTCACCAATAGCATTTAAAAGAGAGCGTACCTATATAAATTATAAAATAATAATTAATTATAATTATGAAAATAATAAATATTAAGTTTATTAAAAAAACTCACATTTCCTGAATGAAGAGTATAAAATAAAAATTGAATTCTTCATCAAATCCTCCCTCAATTGTATTCATTAGTGTTTGACCAAGTATTTAAGGCATCTACCCATTGATCTCTAATCACATTTCTGACATTCAAAATTGAAGTATTCATGTGTTCATTTTTATATTCCAATGCCAATCGAATGAGTTGCTTGGTTTGTCCAACTCCCCATCGAAAATGAGAAGACGTGATGTAAACAAATGAAACTGCAAGGTAAAGAGTGGATGAGTAAGAAAAAAAATAAACATGAAAATATAAAATTATTAAAATATTAAAAGGGAATATATCAGAACTAATATAATCTTATATTACTCATTAGAATTCATTAAAAAAAACAAACTCATCCAACATCTATAAAAAATCCTTTCATATCTTGGCATACTAAAAGGGTTCAATTACAATCTTCCAAATTATTATGGAAAGTGAACAATTAACATGTTCATCATATTATTATAGAAAGCCAACAACTCATCACAATATATCAAGCAATATTTAGATATAAAGGTTGCACTACCTTAAAAGTTTTCACTGCTTAGAATGCCTCAAACTTCCTTCCTTCCTTTCCTCTAAGCTACTCCTCAAGACTCAAGAGCACTCTCTCTTCTCTCCTTTGTGTGATAGTCGAATGTGTGCATGTTTGTGTGGGAGGGCTGAATGTCCATTTATAGAGTGGAAGGAGTGGTCATGGTCTTCATAGTCAATTTAATCACATGTCAGTTTTTTTATTTAGTAATGTTAAGGGCTTCCTATTATGTTCTTATCTTTCTCATTTGCATGCCACTTTTGGTGTTTTAGGTTGGGAATGATATTTTATTATATAATTAGGATTTATGCCATTTGTTCCCTATTTAATCCTTCTTTTATTTATCCCTTGAATTTTGACCATAATTCTTGTTGTACTCATTATAATTCCCTCATCGCTCTATGGCTTATTCATACTTTAATTTCTTGGCCTAATTTAATTATAACTTATCATAATTTTATACATTATTTAGTCAATTAATATTCTTTATTTGAGTGTTATCCAAACTTAAATTTTATATTACTAATTTCTTGAGAACATACTCTTATTATAACCATCATCATCATCATTTTCTAAATTTCCATCTAAAATATAATTTGGAAATAATTCATCCTCTTATGATCATTGAGGTAGCGCACTTTTAATGATAGGGAGTGTGTTAACATTATTTTAAGGTGTAAACATGACACTTTATATTATTTTAATGAGAGAAATATAATATTATTTTATTGATATAAGTAAAAAAAATATTATCTAAAATAATTTTTTTTGTAAAAAAATTTAAGTGAGTTGAATTTTAGGAACTTATTAAAATTAAGACATGCCTTTAAATTTAAAAAAGGGCTTACAAAAATGTATGAGACTAATAATTGAAAGCTGTTGGGGGTGGGAAATTAAAATGACAATTTTAGCGTCAAAGTCACACGCATAATTTTCTGAGTTGTCCTGTCGTAATAATAATGAAATTAGTAAAATGAAGTCATAACCCCAAGCCAAGTTTTAACTATTTTTATATTTTAGACATATATATGACAAGAAATCTACAACCTATACCTATAATATATTATAAATATGGCACTGTACCCACTTTCTCATTATTTTTTATTTGCTATAGATGGATACTATAGATCGGTGTTCATAAAAATAAACATATAATGTAAATTCAAATGAGGTGGATATAAATATATAAAATATTTTACTTATTTTTAATTATATATCCCACATGTATCTCTTTTACTACAGGACCGACCATATTTTTTTAAAAAATTAATAATTATTAGTTAATATAAAAATTATAAAAAAAACTCAAAAAAGTTAAAAGGAGCTTAGGTTGGGATTTTTTTTTATGATAAAGCGTGTGGTGTGTTAGGGATGGGGATGGGTAGCAGATAGAATAGGTAAAAAATCGAACCAGCAACAGGACTACATCGTACTTTGATAGTAATAAATACTAAAAATATATATAACCATAATTATTATGATTTAGAAAAAGAGAGACTGTGTGTATAGATATGACGTGTGAATGGGTGAAAGGGAAAAGGGTGAGACCTCTGTACTAACCTGACACCATCAAAATACAAAAATAGGGGAGGAAGTAATAATGATCTATTATTTCTTAGGGTATATATATATATATAATATAATTTTACTGTTTTGAGAAAAAAGCAAAAGTATAATTAAAATAGTGGCTCATCATAATACTATTATTTTTGAAAATTCATATATGTTCCAAAGTAAATAAAAAATTAAAGGAGAATTTTAATTAAGAATCACTGTAGAGATTTAATTCTAGATGGGTGAAAAGATTAAAGTACCTTTTACTTGTTATATAGAATTATTAATTATTAATTTTCTTACTCTATTTGTTAATTTATGAATGTAAGTTGCAAATTAGATGAATTGACATGTCTTAGTCAGGACCTGCAAATCAAGACTAGCAAAACTTAGAAACAAAGGTTGTTAATATGTGAACAAAAATGTGAATGAAAAGTTGTAAATTTTGTTAAGATGAATAAAGGGCAAAAGTGTCATTTTCTATAATTTTTTAATGACAAAAACATCCCTTAAAACTTCAAAGAAATTATGCCATTTGGTGAGACTAATCTATTATTTACGTAATTTAAATAAATTTTTCTATTATTTTTCTTATTTTTAAACAGAGTGAGTAACTGTTTGCACCCAAATTGTGAATTTAGAGGTCCTGGCCCAACTCAACTTAATTGGCTTTAAAATAATTATATAAAAAAAGAATATTTATGAAGTCTTAGCCATTAAGTCAAGACTATCACCCATGATGAGTGAACATGATGGAGGAAGTACTCCCTAAATTTAAGAAAAGTGGCGATCATGGGGCTTAGGCACCAAGCTAGGATCATCTATAAATAGAGGAGCTCTCTATCATCAAATCATCATCAACATTAACAAACTACCAATCTCAGACTCTGTGTTTGTTACTTTATTTTTCTTTTTATCATGTAACTTTAGTCTTTATTTTTTATACAGCTGGCATAGCCCTTCATCCTTTTTCTTTAATTAATGCATCTCTGCTCTTCTGCATCTATATTAGTGTTCTTCACTTTGCATTCTCACATCAGGGTGAATCATGGTAAGGGAACCCAGGTACCTCGTATTTGATTAGAAGTCAGGTTCTTCCATCCTTTTGAGACCCCACGTCTCTAGCACACCTTGCGACACCACGCCTTTCATTGTTTGTTTTTTACGAACAATTTTTTGGCACGCCCAGTGGGATCTATGTGAAAGGAATGCCTAGAACACGTAAGGATCAATATGTTGGAAAGAATAGACCTGAGTCTTATGACTCAAAAAATGTGGCCGCATATGTAGAATGTGAAGTACAAGCTAACAAGAAGTAAAGAGCTCTGTTGCAAACTCTAAAGGTGGGGCTAAGGAACATCTTTGCTGTGTTGTCTAGATTGTTGTAGGAGCAAGCTCCAATTCGCCCGCACCTTCAAAGAATAGATGGACTCGGGAGGCAGTCTCCCAAAATGCCCTTCGACCAGATGATCAATAATAAGGGCCACTATAACATCCTTCAAAAGATAAATGATAGGTCTAATTCAATAGTAGGCCCGTTCGGCCACAAGGGTCGAAATCATTAAGGCCAGCACCAGAGGAGTCGGAGCTAAAAGGGCCGAAGTCATCAAGGCCAGTGCCATCAAGGCCGAAGCCATTAGGGCCAGCACCAAAAAGGTCGAAGCCACAAGGGCCAGAGCCATCGGGGGCAGCACCATTAGGGCCGAAGCCATTAGAGCCAGCACTAAAGGGGCTAGAGCCACAAAGGCCAAAGTCATCGGGGCTAAAACCATCGGGGCCAAAGTCATTGGGGCCAGCACTAGAGGGGCCAGAGTCACAAGGATCGAAGTCAGTTAATGTCATAATTACAGTGAAATGACAATCCCTTGAAAACCTATAAACTCATGTCACTTAAGGATTCAGCAAGTAACTGCTTCAATTATCAAGGTCGATGCATGGGTAGGAAGAATCAACATTTTATGGGATTCACTATAAGAATCCAAAACTTACATGATAGAATATGAAATAATAGTTAATTAGGATTTATTAAAGATAATATTATTATCCACTAAGGACATTTAAACAAGGATATTTATCCATTAAATTTATGATTTATTATTTATTTTATTGTTATTTCATATATCATTGTCTTTAAGATTATATTTAAATTTAAGATTTGACATTTGAATTTAAATTTTTATTATTTTATTATTTTTAGAACTCTATAAATAGAGCTACTTTTCATTTATAATCAACTTTTGAATATTATTGAATAAAAGTTTTTAAGAGTTTTGGCGTTTCCCTCCCCTTTTCTCTTATCTCTCTTTCCTTCACCCTTTTCTTATCTCTCTTCCCCTCTCCCCTTCCCATTTTACATCAAGAAAAATATTTAAGGGATAACTTTTATATTTATGTTTATGATTTTTTATGTTTTTTTTTTGTAACTTCCTATGTAAGGAGTGTCAAAAGCATTATGGCACCCCACCTCAACTTGTTCAGCATCCATAATATCATGAAGGCTACTGTAAAAAAACTATTAGAGATCAACACAAGTACTAGTATGCATAGAACCAAAGGAATAATTATAAAGCACATCCTAAAGCCAAATATGAAAGGCAAATGTCTGAGGATGAGAGATTCGATGCTGAATTAGATAGAAGAATAGCTAAAATCAAATATCACAATAGTGAATTGGAATGTCAAATTCAAGAAGACACACGTCTAATTGAAAAAATAAGAGTTTTCAACAAATTATGGAATCACTAAATCAACAAAAATAAGCAATCGAGTAGGAAGAAATAAAAATGCCTAAAATTCAAGAATATATAATAACCCATAAAGAGCCCGATCATGAAAGTCATCTATCCATTGCAGAACTTTTAGCACTAAAAACTACATTAAAAACTCCAATAAAAGGTCATCTACTTCCAATACAAGTGGCACATTCCTAAGTTGTGATTAGTTAGAACCAACTTCGCCTTGCTATAATTTCACCTCATCCACAAGATATATCTACCAAGAATACCCTATCACTTTACGGGAAGCTTTAACAATATCTTGTTTGTTAGAAAAGTTTTTTAGAGATTCTGTTTAATCAATGTTGTCCTCCATATGATGCAATCTGTCCCTACCTTACTTGCTAGAAGGGATTTCCATATCTATACATGTGAATGAAATTTTATCCCACTCATCCTTCCTCGACTAATTGAAATTACTTGTTATTGTTGGAATTGAAGAGATCCAGGAGGAACGAGCTTTCATAGGAGGGTGAAAGATTGAACTCACTATAACAAGGTCAACTTGTTGATTCTTCTTGAGACGTGGATTATCCAACAAGTTTTTCAAGCGGGGGATAAATGATGAAATATGAGATAATGGTTAATGATTAATTAGGTTAATTAGAATTTTTTTAAGATACTAGAATTATACAATAAGGATATTTATTCATTAAAATTAAGATTTTTTTATTTTTTATTATTTTATATATCAATATCTTTAAAATTGTATTTAGATTTAGGATTCATAATTTGAATTTGAATTTTTATTACTTTATTATTTTTATAACTTTATAAATATAGTTAAGTTTTTTATTTGTATAAGAGTTCACAAGAGTTTTGGTATTCTTCCTCCCTCTTTCTCTTACTTCTCTTTCCTCCCACTTTCTCTTATCTCCCTTTCCCCTCTCCCCTTCCCATTTTACATTAACACAAGTCAGAATAAACCAAACATCACAAGAGAAGTCAACCCAACCATTACACTCATGCAATTCATCTTGAGAATCCAGAAGAAAAAGCATGTTAGACTAAACCAAACATCGCAAGAAAAGTAAGCTCTTATACAAATTAAAAAAGTTGAGAAACTAAAAGCAAAAACACATGAAACAGCATAATGACATGCTAGACTTTAATAATTCTAAATTTTCAAGCTAACTATTGTTTAAGTGCTTCATGTTGGATTATATCTAAAAAATTTTATACCATTATATATTTTAGAAATTTTGAAGCAAACAAAACTTAAAAATGGATAAAATAATCTTTAATTTACATTGGAAATTATATAAATAATATGGTTGAATGTTAAGTTTTATTATATAAATATTTTCATACAAATAACAATGTTATTAATGTCTATAAAATTAACCATTTTTCTTTATGTTTTCATACAAATAAAAATAATAAATAAACAAATATGCCACATGAATGAAAAATTAAGCCTCATAAAAAAGATATTAGGCTCAGTAGAATTTCATCTTCCAGAGTTAACTTGTTAGGCTCGGTAGTTGAGAGTTATGATTGGTTGACGAATGGAGGCTCCCTAGGGCTCTGTTTAAGCTCTTGTGCGTCTCCAACCTCTGTGGTCGCTCTCCATCTCATCTTATCCCCTAAAATTGAAAGATATTGAACTACTTTGCACCACATACAATATATATTTATATATATTTATATATATTATACACAATCGCTCAAGACAAAAAATCAATATAATTTACCTTGGAAAAAACAGATGCTTTGACATCCAAAGGAAACTAGCAAATTGTGCGACCATAGACCAAACAAGCAATATGCATATTTCTTTCCAAATTTTCCTGAAAGACGAGACCAATAAAAAAAATCAAATATTGGTGGTCAGAAAAATAAGCCATTTATCAATGAACTATACCTTAATATGTGTATAGGGAAACTCAGATGTTCGCAAAGATTCCTGCGAAGTAACCTCCTCATACAAAATCTCCTTGGGGATGCTTAATACCACAGCAATTTCATCTTTTGTTGCAGCTATTGACATTATCAAATAATCTTTGTCCCACTGTATGTCGATGCCATCACTTGGATAGCAGAAATCATATTCAATCACCTACACTTATAAAGATGGATTAGATAATAAGAGAGCAAGTAGGAGAGTAATGGCTATAAAGAAACTACATAAAACAATTGCAACTAAAGAGGTATAGTGTGCCACCGCCCTGTCTAAAAACCAAACTCTTCATATATAGAGACAGCACTTAATTAATGTTAAAGGGAAATTATCCACTCATGTAAAAGCTTTATTGAATATCTTGAGAAATCAGCATCATGCACCCAGTACTTGTTTCCCAAGTTGCAACCAATTAACTTTGTGTTGGGTTATCCAGCCTTGGTGAATAAGATCCAAATATAAGCCCTATCACAAGATTATGGATTTCTTCTATTTGGTGTTGCTTAATTTTCAATTGTTCTTCAATTTATATTCTGATATGTATGCTAAATAAAAAACAATTGGGAGCAAACTTGATCATAAAATCTACAATATCGTGACATAACAGTAGCCCAATGATTTCAAGCAGTAGCCGTGGAGGTCACATGGAAACGTTGAGTTGACATCATGTCTATCCATTTGAAGGGAAAATAATCAGACACTTTGTATGATTGTGGATCATACCCTGTACCTACAGACAAATAATTAGATTTACCACATCTCTTACTCTACCTCAAGCTGGTTAGTTAATAACCTCCATAACAAGCTTGTAATGGTTCTAAAAATGTCAGTAGATAATCTAAGCCATGTATGATGATGAACCAAAACAGGAAGGGCATCATAATCTAATAGTTTTTTCTTTTTTCAGGTGAAAAATACTTGAAAATAAGATCAAATAACCTTTTGATGGAATATGGAATGATGACTAATTAAGATAATTAGGGTTTATTTAAGATATTGAGATTTTCTATTAGGTATATTTAAATAAAGATTTTATCCATTAGTATTAGAATTTTTTTTACTGTTATCTTAAATTTATCCATCTCAATAAAATAGGATATTATTATCTTATCAATATCTTTAAATTAGATTTAGGATTTAAATTGATTATTTTATTAATCTTTTATATAAATATAGTTAAGGTTTTTATTTATATTTAGTTTTTTAATACTTGATAGGATCCAAGATAGGTAAAAAGAACTAAAGAAGACAAATCTCTATTAACATATAAAATCAAAACATAACTTCATAATGTTAATAAGAGAATATAGAATTGATAGAAGAAACTAGAAAGAATAAATCTATTAAAATGATAAAAAATTAGAATCTCATTCTATATTTATTTTAAAAGCCACGCTTAGAAGAATCTTCAAAAGATCAAAAGTCTCAAAAGTCCATTTTGTTCATGATATGCTTACTTCTGAGTTGCTAAACATATTTATAATATTAAATACAATTTAAAATAATAAACAAAATTTAAATAAATAGATAATTAAATAAAAAATGAATAACATCTCCTAGAATCTATATCTAGAAAAAAATGCTAAATAAAATATAAATGACTAGATATCTAGATCAATATCTAGATATATAAATAAATATCTATATAAAATTTAGATAACTAAAAATCTAAAGAAAATATAAACAATATTATAAAAAAATATCTAAAATAAGCTAAAAAAATATTTATTTATAACATTTCTCTAACTTTCCAAATTATCTATTATCCCACTAAAGTTGGTACCCTTATCAATATTGAATAGATTTTCTATGAAATTCGACCTTCTCCCACCTCTCTTCCTCCCGTTTTCCTTTCTCTATCCCTCCTTTTCCCTTCCCATTTTTTATCACCTTTTCAAGCAGAAAGCATAGAAAAATTGCAACACCTAAAGAGATTTTCTTGATATATTGCATCATCAAAAACATGAAACTAAGCTCTATTGTAAGATGTCATTTGACAAAGCAAGCAAACCTTTTGACATGACTACAACAGAACTCCCATCATCAGCCCCCGCAACAGAGGTAATGCAAAAACCATTTTCCTACTGCTCCATGATCTATTGCTGTAAGGGTATGTAAGAATGAGATAAGGGACATTTAAGCACATAGAGTATAAATTACAAGAAAGA